GTGTTTGTTTTTGTACTCTATTTGCTCAATGAAAATTTCTCGCATTTTCCCCTCGACTCTCTCTGGAAGTGCTACTATTTCAGCCAAAAAATTGTGGGTAAATAAGTGCATATTTTGATTCCTTTCTATTCTTTTTTTATTTTTTTGACACATGCTGGAAAATGTAAGTAACTTTCTGTAAATCATGCAGGGTTTATTCTGGTCCAGTAATTCTTATTGTTAAGTGGCAAGCATAGTTAACTTTGTCACTGTATACGCCTGAAAATTCACCCTTTTGGTGTAGCTTGGCTTTTATTGTATCGGTAATAGCGCCGGTTCTAGAGAAAAATTTTATTGTTGAAGATAATTTTCTTTGTTTTAATATCAATGCCCCTCTTATTAGTCGTGCGAATATCTAACACAGTCTACAAGAACGTCGTGCATAGGGAAAGGCGAGAAACCTCCTGCCCCCTTTGATTTTACAGACACAACACATGTAGCCCCTCCTTTTCTGGCCTTTTAGGTCAAATGGCTACCTCCATGGCCGAATTGGGATGCCTCGTTAATCGCATCAAGACACGCACGCAAACACTCATGCACCAAATGTGTACGTGTTTTCGACACACTGGAAACAGATTTGTGTTATCAGGGCAGCCAGTGCCAACACAGCTTGTCCTAGACATACTACGAGTCTGTAAAATCGGGTCCTCCTGAAGGCTAGAATAGAATGGATAATATGGTGAGGTGAGGCAAACAACACACCACCGTTGCACTTGGATTCCCTCTGAAGGCGCCATACGATTGGTGTTGTTATCGCAAATTGGTACTGAGGAGCTGGCAGACGATTGTCAGCCGAAATGAGCGTCGTGTCACTAAAATGTAGCAAATGTGAGTCGTAGAGATTGAAGATGTTACACTAGTCAATTAGAACTGCGAGGATTGTCCCATTTTGAACGTCGTTCTCGGCGTTTTTTTGGGGTCGATCATCTGCACTAGTGCTTTAAAAACCAGCCATGAGTCAGGAACGAAAAATCACGCGTGGATTTTTCGATTAAGAGGAGAAGGCATTTATTGCCAGCGTCGGTGATGCATCCCAGTGTTTTTTTAAACGGGCTCTGCAAATCGGGTTGCAGGAGTCACTGGTCTTTCAAGCCCTAGTCTAGTCGAGTGTATTCCATCTACCTAAAAGTAGAGGATGTCTAATCAAGCACAATTTAAAGCCACTTTACAGACCTCAAAGTCAAAGAGCAATCCTTTTTGCTGCCCTTTTTTTATTGCAGCATCGCTCAGCCATCTACGGGGTTATATTAAGCGCCTCAAAAACGTGAAAACCCATTTTTTCCCACTTAGTTTACGTATCTCCACGTGAATAGCATGAGCACCTGCATTATGAATGCTTTACAATCATTCACGTCCAGTGCTGCTTCAAGTTCAATTGCTCCTAAATCAAGGAGGAGATTGGGTGAGTGTGCTTCAAGTCTCTACGGATTCACTCATCCATGGTAGATACCTTTGGCGTTTAGGTCTGGCATTCAGGCATTTAAATCGGTATTGTGGTCCTTTTGGAGGGAGTTCGCTAAGAACAGCGATTATATTTCTAAGTTGATGGTCTAGCAACTGAAATGTCGTAGACAGAATCCCAGGCCACAAACATGGTGCCCCAAACAGGCGAAGGCTGAAGGTCCCGCAAGGGTTAAATGTGCGACCAAAACATATTGTCCATTGCAATACCATGTTTTAGAGCAAACCTTAAACCAAATTTATTGCTCTTCTTCAATAATTGGTTAAAGTGGCAGAAAGATCAGCTGCATGTGTAATTAAGTGATTGGCTCTCACTTTTTTCTGCCCTCGTCCCTAGTATAGCTAAGACAGCAGATATGTCCGTGTTAGGTTGGTGTGAGTCACCAATGCATATGAATGCACACGTTTGGCAAGAGATTGTTAGTATAACTGATCGTCTCGTGTGTATTTAATCAATTAGTGTGAAGAATCGTGCACAGAACCCCTGTGAAACCTTGCCTGTTGACCGATGGGTTGGCTGAGCCATTAAGGTCAAGACACGAAGGTGTGATGTTCTTAATGCGCCACCTAAGTCGATGCCCGCACTTTTGATAGTCATGATGGTTGGGGTGTAAAGCTGAACCGCCAGTAGGACAGGAAATGTTTCTAGTTAACCGTAAGGTCGTTGACAAGTACCTGCCTCCTTTGTAGTACGAGCTAACATACGGTGCAAGGCTTGCAAATTATGCTCCTCGTTCACAATTTAATTTCGGTTCAATGAACAAGTTCTTTAAGGAATGGCTCCATTTTCCTCTTTTGCTGAATTTTCGACAGTGTTTTGGAATAGGCGATTTTCTGCCCTGGACACTGATGACATCATGATTTATCCGAGTCAGTGAGTAGCTTTTAAGAGCAGAGAGGCGGCAATTCGCTGAAGGGACTAGTATTGTATCATGCCAAATTCTGTCGTATAGCCCTATCTTCCCTTGAGTGTCGTCTTCGGTACTTCTGATGTCCACTCCTCTCTTCAGGCAGCCAAAAGAATCGCACAGCTTCCGGTGTAACTAGCGGCGATGATTTGTTTCAGCTTGTAGAATGCGCCTGTCTGTTGGTTTTTGGATCTATTTCCCCCTACACAAAGATCCAATCTTGGCAATGTAAACTTACCTGCTGCTGTTCATTCAAGTGACTGGAAGTGAACGTGTCGAGGATAACGTTCATTGGTATGACGTGAGTGGTAAAAGAACTGTCTCACGCCAACGCCAAATCTGAGTGGAAAGTCGTGAAAGCCACTAAGCGGGTGGGTCTCGCCCCCGTGGATGAACAACAGATGACAAGCGACAAGCTTCAAAAGCGATCAAATAGTTTTTCTTCACCTCCTTCGTGCGCGTACATTGTGGCAACGCGTTGTTCATCTCGGATTGCTTGCTTACCGACAGACAGACAGACGGACAGGATGACCAATTGATTGGTTGATTAAATACCTGACCTGTGACGAGGAATGACTTTTGTGCTATGTAATTGTGTTGCATTGTACTGTACTGTCTTTTATTGGAGCACTCATAAGGCGGGCGTGCATGTCAGTGGTAATATCCGAACAATCTACTCTCCCCACTGCTCACTTATGCACCCACTTGCCTGGCGTTTGTTGAGGCACGTACCACCCAATCCCGAGAAGACTACTTACTTTGTCTGTGGATGTATGTGTGTATGTATATGCGTATGTGTGTGTGGTGGACTGAGAAAACAATTGCTTGTTGGGGAGTGTTCATTTGTTGAAGGCCAGATGCCAATGAAGGCTGAGAAGTATGTGGGTGATGTGGCATGGCTGGATTGGCCTGCGTTTGCGAAAACAGGTTTCTTTTTCTTGTTGATGAACAGCGGAGACTAGTGAATGATATGGGATGCGATACCCACAGAGGGAGACTGCTCTATTTTCTGTCCATCACGACGAGCTAAATTCCGTGTATTACAATTATTACGATTCTTGTAGGCGGGTCTCACTTGTCATTGCTCCCTGTTAAGGTGTTATCTTTATGGCGTTTTACTCGAGACTGGCTGATGTAAGTAATCCGTTTTATAATCAGTTTTAACTTTTGGGTGTTGCTTTATTATTCATCTTGGCCCAGTACTTAAAATTGTGGTGGTTGCCGTCTGACCGTGAAATGATTTTTCGTCGTAATGGGAAGTCTTTAGCATTCCCGTAGGTTTCAATGGTTTTCGTTCTTCATTTCATTGAGACAATTTTTTGAGAGAGATGTGACTTAAGGTGGGACCTTGTTCTAAAGCAGTTGCACTTTTTGTCAAGCTTTTTATCTAGGAATGCGGCCCATCTCATGAGCTATAAGACATAAGTTGGCTTCTTGAAGCATCATTTTAATGCTAGTCTTAGGCTTCCAAATTTCTCCCATAGTCTGCTATTTTGTCTGGTATACTTTTTTGTTAGCGGTACTCGTTCGACGCAGGTCTCATTCTTTTGTTCATCATGCCACGCATCATAAAATCTGGATGTTGGTTAAGAAATAGTTCTTTCCATAGATTTCAGAATTCTTCTATTGCCAGTCTACCGATACAACCATCCACGGGATATGTCTTTTGTAGTGATTAAATTTGCTAGGTACATCAAAATTCACTGTCACTATAATGCAGTCGTTATTCCCTAAACAAGTATTGAAATTTGTTTATTGTAAGCAAGGCAATCAGCAGCATAGGCATGCAGGCACTACAGCAGCATAACCGGCTCGTAACATCAAAACTTACTACGGAGTTTTGTTTTGATATTTGGACTCGGGTCGGGAGCAAGTAGGGTTAGCCGGTGGTAATTTTGTTGAAAGAGGGCAGTAGGTTCACCCATCTATCCACTAAGCGATTTTGAATAGATGTGTCTCCTTGTAAATGATACCCCTCAAGTGTCCATGTCCGTAGCAATTTTGGTGATGACAAAGATTTGTCTTTTCCCTGAATATTCATTTCGCGTTTGGCTAGCTAATGAAAGATTGCACTGCTTTGCTCGATGGATTCAGGTGAGAGGTCCCGTTCTTGTAAGTGTTTTGAATAATCTTGAAAATTTGAGTTAGGCTAGGCCCAGGGCGAATGAGCTAAAGGGACTATAGCGGGTGACGTCGGACGTGTGCATCTCAAATCATCAAAACCCAAGGATTAGACTCCTTTACCCAAGCTCTGTTGCAAAAAGAATTCATGCGTCTGCTCAGACAACAACTTGAAAGAGATAAGCAAACGAGGTGTTTCGCCGGCCAATGCAAGACCCATGGAACGTTAATCAGTGGGTTGAGTGAGATGCCTCGTTCTGGTGGAGATTATTATTGTTGAAAACGAGGGATTGGATCCGATCATTATGCTAGAGAATGTGGATAAGCTCAAAAAATCAACGAAAGTTTCGCGTGGTAACCTACTAAACCTGCAGAATAATGCGGTTGGTCGATGGTTTGAGCGTGAATTTAGAGGAGCTGATCTAAGAGCAGGATAGTGGTGGAGATTGAAACAGCTTTGGTGGGGGCAGGTGGCAGGTATAATTCTCTGGTAAGGTTCCAGCTGGCAACATTGGACTATATGAAATGTGGAACGGACAGGGTACGAACCTGGGGGGGGGGGGGAGGTGTCAACTACGACAGCATGCTAAACACTTGACCGTAAAGACAATGCTTTAGTATTTTTCATAAGGTCAATTGATTAGTTACTCCACCTTCTAAGTGGTTGGTTTTCCTCAAACGACAGATCATTTATCAATCGAAATCTTTGCCTTATTTGGGCTACGAATCTCTCTCAGTGTATGGAAGTTTCATGGTTGCCCTTTTGAGCACGAAGGACACGGGTGTTTGTGCGTGCTTAAGGTTGTTTTTGCAGACGGAGCCGTAGTCCACAGAGCGTCGACTTTAAGCATTTGTATTTGTGAGTGGATGAAATTCGATTACCCGCCCGTAGTAAGATGTGAGGGCTATTCCGTGCGCCGTCGTTGAAGTTGGTAAAATTATATGTAGAAAATTAACAGACAGATTTTAATTTTGTTCATGCTGCTGGATCTACGATTGACCAATCGAAGCATTTGGATGGTCTTGTTGGATGGAATCCTAATTGACCAATGGGTTCTCCAATTCATAAAACTAATCGAATGCAGAAAAAAAAGTGCAAATTAGGCTTCTTTTGATTTTGATCAAATTTAATGATTTGTTTTGTCACCTAGTCCATAGTGGATGATATGCATTCTGCCTGTCCGACATCTGATGCAGAAGAGGAGGATCAAGCTGATGAAGAGGATGTGGAGGAGGCAAGAGAAAATTCATCAGCAACTACCTCTTCCACTCACCACTTCCCTCGAGCTAAATGTCGTCTGCCGCACGTTTTTTCAGCCCCTAAGCAGGTAACGTTTTCTACTTGTAAACTGTCAGTAGTAACTTTCCGGCCTTTTAATATAACAAATTTGAAGTATCCAGTTTCCAGATTCGGTGCCCTTATTTGTACTCAACTAATAAATATCTTATTCTTATAACGCGTAGCTTCTGCAATTAGAGTTCTGTGTGAAGGCAGCTAAATCCACCAAGTATTTACGCCAAGTGCCATTGGGGATCTCCCAGATTATGAAGGCATTTTAATCCTATGGTCGTTTCGATGAGTTTTTATGTGTGCTTTTTTGCAATCGTTAATATAAGAGATGGGCTTGCTTAAAAATTGGATTCCATTCCTCCCCATACTCTAAGGGGACTAGTTCCTGTTACATGTCAGATTCGCACCTGAATTATTCGTGAATCGGTCGGTTTTGTTAAGTTAATTTCTTTTTGCTAATTTTTCTACTGGGCAATTAACGTGAAATTTACATCTGGTATTGGGTAAAAGTGTTAAATTCAACCAGTTACTTAAGTCGTCAGTAAAGTTGAGTTATATGATAGGAGATTATTTTGATTTACTGACAGTCCGAACGTACCTCTTTTCTTGGTTCTGAATATTTTTCATTAAAATAATCATAATTGCTCATATCCGAGATCCCGTTTCAAATAATCTCATCAAACGTAAAACCCTTTCTTTTTTACTTTTGTTTTTTCAATGGATTAGGTATACGCTTTTTGAACTCTTTAAAATTTTGTCGGATTAATTACTAGAAAAATGATTGATGCCTGAAATACCTTGTAACGCTTTTTAGTAATGTGTTAGTATCTTGTAGAAAGCAGCATAATCGTCATGAGGCTCAGAGCCTACCGAATTTCTTGTTGACAAATATTTACTTAATTTATGGAAGTTACAATGGTTCAAAGTGAGAATATGCAGCTGTAGTATGGTTAACGAAGCTTGAGAACTCTTGCAAGTACTCTGTGCCATCTGCTTTTACTAAATAATATCACTTTTTAGCACCACGACTCCAGTTGCCGCCTTTATCACGGCGTGTTGAACTACCTCGACTATCTCAGCGCAGATGCCGCCTTTGGCGAGTTTCGAGTACTCCCTTCCGCGGAAGCTATTGTTTGTTCCATTCATCCCTCAGACGATTATATTCCCCCGCTTCAACCAATCCTTCCACCACGCATACTTATTGCAAATCCCGTCTGCCAATCTATCACACCCCGTCCACGTCACATTTTAACTTGGCCAAGAAAGCGAAATATTCTAAGTAGAGTGAGTCAGGTGTTCGTTTCCCTTTTTTCCTTAAATACTGATTCGTCTGATAATAAGGATATCGTTTTCGATTTTCTCCTACAGCTACGCAACCGACGATCTCTGGATGTCTACATTCCGCTGACAGGTCGACCGAATGGAGAAGAAACTACTGCATTTTCCAATGCCTCCAAAGTACGTCTAGTAGAGCCCTCATCGAGTTTGGACATCAGTCTGCCCGATCCCATTCACCTAGAGGTGGCTGGATTCCTCACTGTTCTGCAAGCGGTTTTGGAAACTCGACGGAAGGAATGTCGACGTCCGGAAGATGTTGAGCATATGTCTTTGGCGGAGGTAAGTAACTCTCGAACTCGAAATTGTAATCCAGCTAATAATCGTGAATTGACCTGATCTACTTATCTCCTCATATATTAATCTATCCGCCTATTTACCCCTTATATTCTTCAACTTTAATGTCTACTTCTGATCTGCTTATTGCTGATCATTATACCAATTCCTGGTTCACTTTCCAAACAGTTCTTCATTATTTTATCTAACACTGCTTTATCTGCCGTCTAATATATGCTTCCATAATCTACCCATCAGTTCCTGATTCACCTATCCGTTTCATATTCATTCAATTGTGCTTGATCGGTTTATCTTCCTTTTACTCATAAATTCCTCCCTATTAACATCCCAGGTCGGCAAGTCTCCTTTCACCGATACCACCTCATTTTCCGGATCCGTTCATTCATCTGCCATGGTGTCGTTAACTCGTTAATTTCTCATCAACGAATCTACCTCTGATCTCATAATTCACCCAATCCTGTCTCCTCCACCCATCCATTCTTCCGGTATCCATCTGTCAAGTCATTTGTTCAGACATCAATGCATAATTTTCTTCCCCATCTTTGATCTCCCCAGTTTCATGTCTATTTCTGGTCCTGCAATCTATCTTTAGTCCTTGGTTGTGTTCATCCAGTTATCCATCTGCACATGTCGGATTTATCCACTTATCCTAAACCTATTTCACGGATTTATCGGTTGGACCTCCTGTCTATCCATTATTCTGTCCACCAATCCTTCAACTATCATATGTGTCGGTTATCTCTTATTTCTTGCATTTTCAGTTGGCACAAGAGAAATTGGATTTACAGAAATGCCTGCTTTACTTCGAAAAGATGAAGGGTCGACCCTCGGATCCTATAACGAAGCGGGTCATGAAACCTATCTATGATCGCTACCGTTGCGTGCGTCGATTGGTTCGCCTCGCCTCCAATTCAGCTATTCGTTTCAGTCGTGGGCGCTCCAGTGGTTCAGCGCCGCAGCCCTCTGTAGATTCTGTCAGAACTCTGATGGGTATAGCAGTGGTAGAACCAACACAGACAGATGAAGTGGTTAAATTTGCAGAAACTGAACCCATAATTACTCTCGAATCCTCTCTAACGCCAGAAGCTCTTCTGGGAACTTCATCTACCAACTTTTCTCAAACGGAAACTGATCAAACCGCTTCTTTCATGAGCAATGGGGCAGAATCCCTACCTTCATTTTTCTTGAATTGGGAACTTACCCTCCTTGAGTTCATTCAATTCGCAATGAATGTGGATCCCGGGGAGCTGACACGTGGACGCGCGGAAATTTTGTCAGTGAAACACAAACTCCAACGCTTTCTTCACGACTACGAGAAACGGATCCAAGAAGTGACGAGTAATTTTATCCTTTTTTGTCACTGCTTCTTATAGACCATCCACCATCAAAACGGGACCGAGATGGATTACGGAGCGAGTATAATCGCTACCGAGACTGCAAACAACGTCTCTACGTGATTGACCGACTTGTGGAGGAACCGCAGACCAACCTTGAGAGTCTAATAGTGGATGCACAGTCGGTAGGAAGAGCCCACCGACGAAGGAAGGTTGTAGAGAGTGCGGTGGGAAAGGATGAAACAATTCAACAGAAGGTGTCCACTACCATCAAAACTGCAACACCGATGCTGCAATCGCAGGATAGCGCTTCTTGCACATAGTGCCCGATATTGAATCCTTACCTTCCTTGTTAATGTGCATTTTCCCTACGTCAATTTTTGACAATTGAAGAATGCTTCTACATTTGAAATTGCGGCTTTCTTTTATCCCTCAATACCTCTCATACTTCCTCTTTATCTCCCCTTGTCTGTTGGTTCTTATTTATTTCACGCTTTGTAAAGATGCCTTGTTACTACTATTACTACTACTGCGGGACTACTAACTGTCCAGTGAAAAAGTTTTTTAGACCAGGTTTCGCTTGATTTTTTGCGTAAAGTTGTTTTGAACTCCCGACATTGCTGCCGCAAACGCAAGAGCTGCTCCATTTTAGCATGGGTGAGGCTTCGTTTGTTCGTTCAAGATGTTCCTCTGCCCTTGATCGGAGTGGCGGATCATGTATCAATGGTTAACAAAAAACATGGCAAGAGCAATTCTCTCGGCTTTTCACGTGACGATAAACAAACTGTCTCACACCAATGTTAAATATGAATGGGTGTGAAGAGTGTTGTAATTATTGTTGGGCCTGCGAAGCAACGCATACTGTGGGAAACCTACCTGTGAGAAGATCTCACGACCGTCCCACAGGACGGAAGTGGATATTTGACGCTTATCACACTTGTTATTTATGCCAGACTGTAACATCACCACACGCAAAATAGAATAGACAATTTGAAAGCAATTATACAACGTAGACGAGTGGTTGAATGCTACTGGTGGTGCTGTTTGATAAAACTTGATTTCCCAAAGTTACGTTTTATTAGTAGCATTTTGTCGATTTTATAATAACTCAACAATCTTACTTTTTTGGCTTATACCTTGTGTAGCCAGAAATTACTTTTCAAATTTGAATTTTGAGTGTAATTACCCGTCTAAATATTGCACCAAACTATTTAATTAATTTTCATTAAAATTGGAAATTAGTTCTTTTATCGTTAAACAAACACAAAATTTCGAGTAATTTTTTTCCAAAAGCAGGAGCATCTTTGAAGCGTTTCACTTTGTTTTCATAGACTTCGTGACTTGCCAGAAAATATGGCTTTTCAAATTATTTTTAAGAGTTAATGCAAACTTGAATTTTCTCTGAGGCAAAGCACCTGTCCACTTTCGTTGGAGTATTTCTTTTTTATGGATGCTTTGAATAGCCTTTGATTTATTCTGAGGATCTAAAATGATCTGCTATTGATACACTACTAAATGGTCCTAAATAATTTAAGACTATCCAATTTAGATATCAAGATTTAGATTATGTTATGCTGACGAGTAGCCTAAAACACCTTAACAGGATTTATGGTGTTTCGTAAAATCGAATTAAGCATATAGAATATTTAATAAGTAAATTCAACGTAGTCTACTTTTTAATACATACCAATAACAGCGAAAGTGACTTTTAAACAGCTCATTTGTATTTTTATTGGTAAACGAGGCCCAACACCGGAATTAGTTATCCTTGGAATACATGTAAGTGATAAGATCAATCACACGACAACTGTAACCATACTCGTTGTCATACCAAGAAATGAGCTTTACAAACGTGTCATTCAGCGATATTCCCGCATTTGCATCGAAGGTAGATGATGCGGTGCTAGTTCGGAAGTCCATACTTACAACATCTTCATCGGTATAATCCAGAATTCCCTTCAAGGCTGGACTCTGCGAAGCATTTTTGACCGCCTCTTTGATCTGTTCGTAAGTGGCAGGTTTGGCAAGTTTGCAAGTAAGATCAACCACTGAGACATCTGGAGTAGGCACTCGGAATGCCATACCTGTCAACTTCCCCTGAAGCTCCGGAATGACTTTTGTGACAGCTTTAGCAGCTCCAGTTTGTGCTGGAATGATATTTAAGGCACCAGCACGACCATCACGCCATCCTTTTGGATTAGGACCATCCACCAACTTCTGTGTTGCTGTATAGGAGTGAACAGTTGTCATCAGACCTTCTACAATGCCAAAGTTGTCGTGAATAACTTTAGCCAACGGAGCTAAACAGTTTGTTGTACAAGAAGCATTCGAGACTATTGTCATAGAGGGATCGTATTTGTCCAGATTAACTCCAACAACAAACGTAGGAGCGTCTTTAGATGGTGCTGAAATTACAACTTTTTTAGCTCGATTGTTCTTTAAATGGGCACCAGCTTTAGCCATGTCAGTATTAACACCGGTAGATTCAACAACATAGTAAACACCATCCTTGTCCCATGGGATAGCTTCAGCATTCAATTCTTTATAAACGGAGATAGCATGGCCATTGATTACCAGCTTCCCATCCTTTTCTTTTACCTCACCGATAAATGGACCGTGGGTAGAATCATATTTGAACATATAAACCATGTAAGTGAGATCAATAAAAGGGTCATTAACGGCACAGACATCTACAGTCCCCTTGCATATGGCAGATCGGAGGACAAGACGACCAATTCTGCCAAACCCATTAATTCCAACCTTAGGCTTGCTCATTACTGAAACCCGTGGAATAGTAGATACCGTGTGTAATAACCTAGCGATGAAGATAAGTTAAACAATTTACATGTAAAAATTGAAATAAGTAAGCAGCATCAAAACTATATCTAAAATTATTCTCGCAAAATTTCGGAATGTTTTGTTGTGACAGACTACCTATTTCAAGCAAAAATACCTAAACTTTCATTATTAAAGTAATGTACATTGAAAGCATTAGGATTTCGGCTATTCGAACTCCACACTGTTGGCTAGTAGTTGCATTCAAACTCAAAAATAATGGTAAAAATTGCAGCGTTTTTAGTGTTTTAAACGATAAGACAAAAATTAGTAAAGGCGAATATAACCCAGCGTCTTCTTTGAAGTCGTAAGAAGCCGCAGTGATGTGCAGAAAATATATTACTGAAACATAGAAAGCAAAGATACTACTGGTGTGGGTCGAAGGTCACGCCCTCTAGCAGAAGTGCAAGCCCCGGAGAGTAAATTATTCACGTAGTCAAAATGGGAGTTCAATAACGTAGTAGGGCTCTACTGTAGCGTCCCGAGACTTCCCTGAAGACGAAAGAAGACACAATACTAGGTGCAGAATGTATGTTCAGCACAGAGAAGGTGTTTGGGCTACTGGCATAGCCCGAAGGCCAGCCCACCCGCCAAGGTAGAAGAAGGCAAATCCAAAAGTTCAAAAGTGGCGCCTCACCAATACCAAGGGATAAACCGTCGTATTACATAGCCTCCCTCCTCTTTCGAGCGTCCCTGGCGCCCCCGCAGGTCAACCTCCTGCGTCAGCCACTACAACGCACCCACGATCCGGCCGTGCCAGTCACCGAATTAGCGTGCAACTGAGGAGATACTTGACTTCAACGTCACTGATCCCTCTTGGCAGCTTAACCGGGTCTGGGGTTTCGTCCGCTTTGGAGGACTTGATTCAGAAAAGGGAAATTGTGCTGGCCATTATGCGTGTCCATAGATAGATGCAGGAACACTGACAGGTCCATGGGAAGAAGTTTCTCGTCCGTTCCTTCTTGCCACGTTGTTCCCACTTTAGAGGGTAGGGGAAGTCTGTAACGAAACTTTCAGACGCTTCACGGCTAGTGCCACTTCAGTTGTTAATAGGTTTTCTGCAGAACATGGGACTGGGATTGATGCCGAAGGTAGACGTCAACTTCAACCCCTTTTTTGGGATCATCACCATTCTCCCATCCGTAGCATATGTACTTCTTCCTCTCCACTGAGGCTTATTACCCAGAAGTGAAAAACAGGATATATGGCCTTTAGGATCGGGTTCGCTTTTCGTTGCCACCAATGTAGCGTCCCAAGACTTCCCTGAAGACGAAAGAAGACACAATACTCGGACAGAATATATATTCAGCGCAAAGAGGGTGTCTGGACTATTGGCATGGCCCAAAAGGCCAGCCCACCCAGCGAGGTACAAGGGGGCTAATTCAAAGTACAAAAGTGGCGTCTCACCAGAACCGAGGGATAAACCACCATCGTATTACACTACGGTAGTAACCAACCTCTAAGAATCATTTGAGCAGCTTGTTTTTAGGGTAGTCTTCTTCAATCGCCCTTATCAATTGATGTGTGTTTATTGCCTTTGTTTTATTTCTGGGGTCAGAGAATACTCGACTTGTTTGCTCAAGAAATTGAAAATGAAAGCAGAAGGTTTGAAGAATGGTACGACAAACTATTTTTAAATAAGCAACAGGACTTATGTTGCTTTTCTAACTAAGACAACTTTGCATTTGAATGCAGAATCTTGCATCCTAATGTGAAAACGACCAATTGTTACACAAATTACTAGGAATGTGAAAAGCACACTACATTACATAGGAATTGCAAACAGGTGTGTTTATACAGAGTTTAGATTCATCTCTACAGAGCTGTATACACGGAATAGAAGAACAGATATGCTAGTGGGTTAAAAGGTTGCTTTAATATGATGGACGCAGGGCACTATGAGTGCCCAGCTATTTATAGTCATAATCCCAAAAGGATAAAGAATCATGTACGTACGTGCATAAAAATAAGCAAATAATGGCGGAGAACAAGGGAAATTCACCACTTTTGATTGACATGCTCTGCGTGGAGATAAGGATGTATCTTACTGACGCTTCGTTTATAGGCAAATTGAAAATTTAGAAAATGAATACATCGAGGTGATGATGTAGCAAGGATTCGAGAATCCGGGCGATTACAGTCATGAAAATGGCCTCCTAATCCAGTGTTGCGAATGGAAGAAACTTTTGTACCAGTAGTACGTCGTGAGCTCACCAAGTGCCAAAGAAATTCAAGGAGTGACAGTCTGCAAGATTTTTGATTTTAACCCCCTTCTGTGACTTCCAGTAGACTCGCTCGAAACCCATCAAGATGATACGCGTTACAGCAAACTTCAGAGAATAAGAAAATTTGGATCCAATTCTAGCGAATAAGGAGAACTGCTAAGCAAGGCCGTCCTTTGCCTTCTAAAAACGCCTCTATCATACCACAATCCCCATTTGTTGAACTTGAAGACTGTAGGGAAATTAGGGGTTAAACCTGCTTCAAACAGCTCAAATGTGATTTAAGGAAAAAATATTTTATAACGATCAAACGTTAACATAGGTATTGTGGTAAAATAACATTTTTTTAACTCTGGTTCGAGCCAAGCGGAGACCTCGGTTTGTGCAGATTGTACTTTAGTTCTGTAACATGCTCATTGGGCCGTGCTAATAGCCCATTAATTCTTTACTTTATTAAGCCTTCTGTTATTTCCGAACTATTTTGGCTTATTATAGCTAAAGGAAAGAATTTGGGCGCCACAGTGGTGACCGCATCGGCAGACCTTTCTCCCTCCACAACAGACACAGACTTCGCAATTGCTTCGATGCGCCAACAATTATATTTCAAAACAAGATTTATTGGTAAAGTCGGGAGGATTTCTTATTACAAAAGTGACCTTGATGAATGAAGATAAGAATCAAAATCTTACAGAATGGATTTGAACAAATAAAGCTGTTAATGGGCTGCAACATCGACTGACTGTTTTTCCACCTGTGATTGAATTTCAAGTTTCGCCAATCTATCGGTTAACTGATTTGCTGCTGCCTTCGATGTACTCTCCGGTGTTGTAGAACCTGGAACTTTTCCGGTTTCTTTGGACGGCTCCAACGCACTCTTTTCAGAGAACTTCGCTACAAAGAGGATGAAGAGAAGCAGTTAAAATGTGGGGAGATCAAAAATCATTCCGACGATGCCAATTCGCTATTTACCTGGTAGATTAGAAAATCCATGCGGGGACAGCTTACATTTATCAAAAGCCTTCTTAAATTCTTGTGCAACTGAAAGAGGACATTAGAACACAAAATTAAAGAGGTACTTTCGGCATTTGCAAAACGAACACCCAAAATTTCAGCCTTTATCTCATTATCGGTGAAATCACTAGGCGCCATCCAAACAAAACCTCTGGTCGAACCTGCGGTTGCTCGTAATTCCATGCAGGGAAGAATGCAATGATTTGCACAAATCTAAGAAGAAAAAACAGTGACAAATCCCAAAATGCATACAAGAACGTCATACATTAAGAGAAGATATACACACCTTTAACGTCTTGTCTCGACGCATAATGACTCGACAGCAGTGCGTATCAGGGTTTGAAAGAACTTTAAGTTCTCCTGTCCCCCGTTCTTTCCACTCAGGTTCGTCCGATTTGGCATCAAAGCGAAAAAGTTTTGCCCGACTAATTCCTTTATGATTGGTTAAAGATGAGAACATACGCTTTGAAAAGATACATTTCATCTTCTTCGAGTGTTTTTACATCAACTAAATGGCGCGAGACGATGGGCTCGAAGTGGGCTGAGGCATTTTCCTCCCAAAACTAAACATTAAAAATTGGAGATTAGCAAACCTCATCCCCAGAATGAGACATGGCGTAACATAGGAATGGCTGGTGAGGATACTTTAGCAGCTTAACCATTCAAATGTATTCATTGATAACCAATCAATTGTTCACCAGACTGAAGCAACAAGTGGACAAAGCTTCTGATATTTTGAGGTTTAAAACATTTTAACGGGATACCCACAGTTTCCAAAGATAAAAGTTATTTTGGTCTGTTTGCACCCTTTAGACATTGTTTCCCATCGTTTGCGAAATTTTTGAGCTTGGACAAAAAACCAACCAGTTTGGTTAAAACTAGTTCATTTATGTCCATTTGATCAATAACCACTCTTTCGAGTAGCAAAAAGTATTTAACCCTATTTTGCAACCTTGAATCTGCAGGAATCTGATCGATGTAATGAAGTTATCTAGGATCGAACTAACAAACCAATATATTTAAATAGTCCATATGGTTCCCTGCCTTATTTCCCAGGCTGGCACACTTTGCACAAAAAGTGTTTCCGCTTTTGTTTCGAATAATTTCTGATTGTTGGTCATGAAAATGTTCTGTTCATCAATGCGCTTACAATTCGATTGCGTACATATTCTCACTTCATGCTCCAAAACATTACGTCAGAAATTCCAGTTTATGTAAGGTCGAAATAAGGGCTTAATCAAATTGGCGACAACATTCACGTCTCTAGCGTTAAAATGTATGATATGAGGATGGGCAAGAGCTTCCCAAATCCCGGACTAGAAGTTTCTAGTCTTTCTTCTAATTTAGATACTGCCTGATGCAAAAACTTCGCCCGATTGCTGATCATTCGACTAAATCGGAGGTAAAGCTGGACACCTGATGCGAGTAACTATATGTATTTCCCAGCTCTGATTCTCTTCGTACAGTGCAAGGGACTTCGGATCCCACATTACTACTCACCTGCATTTATTGGTATTAGAGCTTACACCAACTAAATTTTCTTGTGATTATTTTGACTGTCATGCACACATACTACTGAAAGTGGGTAGTACTTTGCAAGATGTGCAGTTTACAAAAAAGCTGACCAGAAGTAAATAAAAAGAAGCACCAATAAACTCGTCACATCGTCATGCACGCCCCAACACCCATGGTCGTATAAGCGAAGGTTTTTAGTACAACATACTCAATAGTTTGACGGTATTACACAATTTTCGTTGGGTCCTGTCAGAATGAAGCTGGAAGACTGCGGTGGGAAACAAGGGGGAGTGATTCTAGACGGTAGCATTAGTTTTGAACTACCGAATAGTGCCTAAGTGAGGATATTGTAATCTGAAGGTAACGTTTATTTGTCGTACAGTGGATTTGTCACCTCCTTTCCATCTCGCGGCTGAAAGGAAAAGTAAAAATCGATTAAAGAAGTCCCAAAAAGCGGCGGAAATTTTTGTTTTTCTTCCTCTTCACTCACAATTGCAAGACCCGGAATTTCGTAGACATACTCGCCTTCAACAGGGAATGGCGGCATAGGAGGTGCAGATGGATACCTGTGAAGGATGCAGAAATCAACTTACAAGGAACTAATTTCCATTACCCAATCAAGGCAAAATTCAGAATGTCCTGCATTTAGCATAGAAGAAGACCCGAGGCATTGCCTTTAAAGGGCTTCAAATCAAAGAAAATAATTAGCTATAAGTGACGACTACTTAACAACTGTTCTTTATCTGCAACGAAATTTTGTCGGTTTTTTAATTTGGAGTTTTGCATTTCTAGATGGAATCCCCAATCTGTTGCGAAAACGTTGAAATCTTCCGCTCCCCTAAGGTAAGTCACTCAGGGTTATCTTCAAAGAATCACAAAGCCGGTAAAAGGTTTGGATGTTAGTTAGAAATTAAAAAGATAGGATAGAAATACTGACTTTTTTGTTGCAGTGTAAAAGGCGATTCAAGTAAGTTATCGCTAAATATCCCACCTCAAAGATGGTAGAAAAGTCGTAATTTGCTATAACGCCGTTTAAAACAGGAGGTCATTCTCCAAATGGAAGCTTAAGCTTTGGTTTTTGGCCAAAATTTTGAGTTGTTTATTTAAACTACCCATCAACGCTAGAAGGCGTTGCCACCGTAAACTCCTCAGCAAAGACAGACGAGTCCTTGCTAAGTAACAACCAGGAAATCCATGGACATAACGAGTTGAAACATCATCATTTACCTTCTTAGGGTGATTTATTGCAGGTTATTAAGAAAGCCAAAAGACCGGAATTCTTCGGCTAGGCTCAATTCAAGTTTTAATTTGATTTAAAAGATGGAAAGTGGAGGTTATGTGCTGGTAGGAAATACTTCCGATTACTACTTTATTTGGGATTTGATTTTTGCAAGGATTTCCTTTATCACTGTCAAGAATGGGACTTTCATCCTTAATTTACAATTCCAATTTATGAGCAGTAATGTCGTCAACCTTTCCCAGAACGTGACGCTATCGTTCACTTTTTCCTGATTGGCCAATTCTGCTTGTAGGTAGGCTTTAGATGAGCTATAAGATTGCAATAAAATCAAGGCCAATCAAATATCACAAATGCACGAGACTGGAAGTCTCCGGTCCTCAACTTTCCATTCGTGGGTAGGGGGCCCCATACGCTCACGTTGTACTCCCCTGCCTACTCACACGCGTCGGCAAGTAAGGATGAAGACTCTGTATCCAGATTAAATGCGGATCCAAGCTCATGCACATTATCCTACTTCAAAATGGCAAAAAATGCGTTCTCATTAAGGTTTCGCCTTTTCTTTCCTTGCATTGTACATTCCTTTTCAAGAAGAGAATCTAAGCCACCTTGATAAATTCTAGTCGTCACAGTGGTATCTACATCGACGTTCGGAGAACTGGTATGTTGACCATCTAGTAATAGAAAAGGCAAAGTTGTCTATAGACTAATGAGTGGCTGCTTTAGCAACTCCATTCAAGGACAAAAAAATAGTTCTGAGCCGTTTATTACAGCTTGGGACCCGTGCCTGATATTTAGTAAAAATGGCAAACATAAAAGTTTGAAAGAAAATCAGAAAATCCACTGCTATCAAAAGGGTAAATGAGGATACACCCTATAAACAGAAAAAGATGTTAAAGGATCAGATGAAATTAATTGAAGTATTCAGCAAAAAAAGTACTAGTTAAATGACAATAAAAGAATGAAAAAGAGAAACGTGCAATTAACAAGTTAACGGTGACGGTAAGATTGTCAGAATGTGCCTAATTGTTGACGCAAAGCGTCTCACGTTATTAGCAAATTAACAGGCAACACAAGGCAACTTTAAAGTACAAAAGAGGCGGGCAGAAGATACAGTGATTTATAGCTGTAACACATTATCTGCGATTTCTTCGTGTTATACCTGTTAAAGAAGAGACCCACAGGTTTAATTAACCAAGTGATGGCAATCACGCATCAATGAGTTAGGAGTAAAACAATGAGACAACCCATAAAACAGCGGTTTCGCGCATTCGCAGCTGAGATGAAGGGACCGCAGTAGTTGAGGCATTCCTTCCTACACAATACCAACGTCTTTAAACTTTTCGCAAATTTACCACCTTTTTTCTGCAAGAACTGAGACGAGTGGCAACATCCCAGTCGAATTATATAATCTTGAACTGTCATGTCTCCCTGCTCACAATCCCGCAGGCATTTTTATCTCTTCCAAGTTGCCACCCCCTCAAGGTGCCTTTTTTCCAGTCAAGATTAGAAGACAGTCAGCACAGCATTTCTCACTCGATGCCCCTTGAAGTGGCGCATTGGCACACTTACATTTTTCACTGCCTTCCGATGTTGTGACGAGTCCTTCTTCGTACCTCTGAATTCAAAGGGGTGAAACAACACTAACTTTTCATCTCAATTTGCTTTCCTTGCGTTCGTTCACAAGCACCTTCGAGGTTACTGATTCCACTTTGCCACTTTCATCGTAAATCGCTCACACCTTCTGAATCAATACCCCTTGACCTTGACCACTCTCTATTCCCCCACGAATGGTGACTTGGGTTTGTTATTTGCTTTTTTGAAAAATACTTCTAAAGCCTGTTAATTGAATCTCACTCCTTCGAATTCAAGTCCCCACCCTTGCTGTAAATCCAAAAATGCCGTCTTCCCACCACAACCATTGAGAATGAATGGAAGTGGTGAGATGACTTGCATTCTCCCCTCACTTCCTTCTCAGTGTCTGGCTTTGCAATTAAAAGGTAAATCACCCTTTAATCAGTTCCAATTGATGCTTCGTTCGCACTTATGAGTGGAGATGAATGGAGTCGAAAAGATAGTATTGAAGCAATGCAAAGGCATTGTCCTCCCTCAAACGACTCTAGCAACAACTCAACTGTTTTTGCTCAGTTATTTGGATACGACCCACTTATAGGGAAGAAGAGCCTCCACAATAATGGGATTATTTGACCGGGAATTTAACCAACCTATGCGATTTTCGATCACAGAGACGAGAGCCGGGAAAAGTCTACCACTGCTTGATCTCCAATTATTGGGGAAAACAATGGGTCTGTTCACGAGTGCGATGTTGTCTCGAGGCGTGAGTTCCGATTTGCCTACCCCTTCGCCTTTTCTCCCAATTGTTCATAAACATAGCCATAGATTGTCGTACAAGCGTGTCAGATTCAAGCCCCATTTTCGGTCAAGGTGGAGGACTGTGCCTCAAAGTGGTCCAATCTGTCTACTAAGCCTTCATTTGTCAGCAGATCTGAGGAGATCTGTTCCCCATCAGAGCACACATACTGACGTCCTACCCCCCCTTCCCTCAAACGGCAGTCACACGGCATTTGTTGACCGCAAAATCGCCGATACAAGAGACGCGTTATTCATCACTTGAGGTGGATTGTTGAACAAGTCTTCACTTTACTCTTGGCGCCTTTGCTCTCCCCATATCAGCAGCTCCGCACACCGCATTACTATCTTTGTATTGGATGAAATACCTTCAATAATGAATGTATTCTGGTCACTCCATTAGGCGATCTCAGTGCAGGGCATGCTTTTATGACATGTTGCTCTCTACATTTGAAGGGCTCCCAGAAACCTTGGCCTGCTCAATAGCTGAAATGGAGTTGGTGACAGGTGACTGGTTATCCCTTTTTCTCTCAAATCCTTCCCACCGGTGGTGATCAGGCCCAGATCACGCCAAAATGGGCAATGGTAGGACGGATGAAACAGCTGCTATTTTTCCTATTCTTCTTCTCCTCCGTCTTCCTCCATTTTCCTTCTTTTTCTTCCCAGCATTCTCCTTCTTCCCTTCCTCCCTCTTCTCTATTGCATATGCCGATTCACAGAAACCACTGGCCTTATGCATTATGGTCTCATTGCTGCCTTTCCAAAGAGGTTGTTTGGTAACTGCTTCTCAAGTACCTTTCTTACATCCTATCGAATGCCTACGCGGACGAAACATCTTCTTGATAAATCTGACACACTTTTATCCATTTACCTCATCATAACCCACATCACCCAACTTCCCACCTGCTTATGGCCTCTTCTCAGCAAGTTATAGAGCAATGAATAACTTCTCACAAAGCCTCGCCATTCAGTCAGTGACTTCTTTTCAAGGGTAACTACGCAACTGGGCGAGCATTCTACTCATAATAATGCGTTGGAGGAAAGAAGCCCCGAAACAGTGACACAGCTGCGCCAAGTGCATTTCACCGCTTTCAGCAGCGAATATCTACACTGATTCCCTGTTAAGAGCAGCCTAGTACGGGAGTTGGTTCTAACACACTCCGGCAATTCTTCCCTTGACACTTGGCAACCATGTTTAATTTGCGAGGAATCGGAACATTCGATTACTTCCTTCTTATTCCCCGTTTGCATTCAATTGCTTCCTCTAGATAGTGCTTACTCCCACGTTAAAGCATTCCCCAATGCATGCAGCTTCACATTTTTCCCTTTAAAAAAGATCTGCCAATTCGTTTGATCTAATCAGATGGGTGGTCCAATCCGCGAAACTGGTGTAGCGTGACACATTTCCGGTCAGTCAGTCAGCCAATTCATCAATCATTAACCGTGAAGCAGAGCCTGGCAGCAAATCGCATTGAACTGTAATTTGTGCAGTTTATTTTAGTAGTGTTCGTCGGAGGTTGCATGTTGTCTTAACTGAGTATTTTGCCAAAATATACACATCATATGACCTATATTTGGTTGACACCGCAAGTTGTTCACACTCCTGCCCACCTACTTCGCCCCTTCTCATCTTCACAAAATACAAGACACGCCTAACGATGATGAAATTGTAGAGGTGACATCTCCTTTCTCATAGATTTGGTAAGTAGGTCCTAGTGTTTCCCACAGATCCTTCTATATCGACTTTGCTGTCGACAGTTCCGGCTTGAGTTTCTCTGCTACGGGAGATTAAGAAGGTCGTCTCCTCCAAAGACAATGAACCGAGTGACGGCCAAAATCAGCATTTGTGTTTAGACTCCGCAACCACTTTACAAAATGCGAGGCTGTCTTGAAGCCGACCGCGAGCAGATGCATTACTCGCATTCATTCTTTTTCTAGCCCTTGTAGTCGTTGTTATTCTGCTTTTGATTGTTAGTTCTAGGCTTTTGGAACGCATTTCTAGATCAATGATGAAGTTTATCATATTGCACGAGAATACAACTCTCATATTTGTCTTTTTTTTATGCCTCTTCTACTGTCTTTGAAATCCCTCCTTCATTTCTTGCAATTGTGGCTGAATCTCTGTAGCCCTTTCTATTTAGTGTTACCAATTGTCTTAATCCTCGCAGAGGAGATAACTATGTAGCGGCGAGAATTTTATTCACATGCTGACTTCACCTTGTTTCTACTGGAATCCCATTTTGGTGATGAAATTTATGCTTGACTCAAAGCTACCTTCACTCCAGGCCACCCAACTTGTGCACAGCAGTCACAAGACACACGCCGATGCAACGAATTGGCAATTCTTATTCAACTTTCGAAACAAAAATGGACTCTAAACCACCTTAAATAATTTTTTTAACCAAATGCTTGGATTTTACGATATTTTAAGACTTTTTCTTATGAAGGAAAACATACATTTTGCAGAAGAGAGTAAGCAGAAATCGAGAAGTAGTCTTAAAATAGCAAAGAATACTTGTTTGAAAAATTCGTGCAGCTTTCGTCAAGTTCACTGCAAGGATTTCTCAAATCCTGAAGGGACTTATCAGCTACATGCGTTTGTCTATATGTATGCCTCAGCTCAATGCCATAGTACATAACAATAAAAAATTTACAGCTATCTTCCTTCTTTGGACCCTTGATAAAGGGTCTTCGTAGCGGAATTACTTGGACCCGATTGCAAAGCCGATAAGAACCTGAGCTAATATTTTGATCAACAAAGCAGCAAGGTAAGAAATGGGCAATGAAACTCACGGCTGCGCAGAATTACGATCCTTCTGGTAGTGATAGTGCAGCATCTCAGCCGACGGTGCCAACTTCCGGTCTTCTGAGGGTTGCACGTAGTAAGGCTGTGTCGCATTCACCAAATTCGGCACATAAGAATTCGACTTATCCTTTATGGTGGACTCACTGTCTGAACTGCTTTTGGGCGGTTTTGAAGGCTCACTCTTTCTTCGCCTAAAGTAGAGCATCAAATATAGCTCAAAATAAGCGGTATTGCTCGATGAAACTGGACCTCATAGGCTGACACATGGGGATATGGGGCTCTGCTACAGCAATTCACATAGGCGACAAACGCAAGGTAAGACCGAAGTCTTGGATGACGCGAATGCATTAGATGTATCCACCCCTCTCCAACTGCGTGTGAGATCAGCAGCTTTGCAAATAATAGTTGAAAATTGATCAGTAAATGACTAAAGCTAGCACAGAATTGGCTGATGGTAGTGTGATTCTGGTAGAAGATGAAATTATCTCTAATGAAAGGGCCTTGCCCCCATTCGCGCTTTTAATCTATCCACAAATTCACTTTAAATTTTAATTTGGTTGTGACTGGTCAGCAAAGGAAAAAAATTAGTGACCTCATATGATCCTTTAATGATGAATGAGTTGGGGTCCCCTTGCCCAGAATTCATCGCAAATTAACAAGTAGGCTATGGCATGTAACGTGATCCAGTGCTTTTGAGTGATACATTAGCAGAAGAAAGGAGAGAGCGAATGCCTCTACTACTATCCTTAATGCAAGAGTAACTACTAACAGCGAAGGTAACATCAACTGCAACTATGTACATTTTTTCACCTTACACAAGGTACTTAAATTCTCAGGGATGATGCAATCCGTTGTATTGAGTGACAGTGTATGTGCGATTTCGGATATACCCTTCTCACACACTCGAAAACGGATTTTGTGTGCACACTAAGGGCAACAAGAGTGAAATGAAGGCTGTGTGTGTGCCTGATGTACTTGCATCGAGAATGAAGCGTTTAAACCGATTTAGTCACTGTGACTCACCAAATAAAACAGGCTAGAAGGGAGAGGATCACGACAATGATGACAGCCGCGAGAATGACACCACAGGCTGAAAGATAGAAAGTTAATAATGTTGGAGGATTTCATTGCTAAATTTGGGACCGATAAATGTTAGTGAAGACTTACCAATGCCGATGGGGACCCACCTATCCATGAAGCCCTCGGTTAATTCGTTATCGTCGCCTAAAAGTTAAAAAGGGATATTAATTAACTCTAATGTGTAGACTATGCTAGAGCAAGTAGTATCTGTGTGTGTGAGGCCAATACTTTTCTCCAGCCTGCTGGTTCACCTTGCAGCATCAAAATGAAATTTACCACCCCAAGAAGGAAGTGTCGTCATCACCGGTGGGAGGATTAGGAATTTAAAAAGTAGCCGCATTAAGCTTTCAGCTAGCTATAGCCATAAACCCATTGGAAAAAAAAACAAACATTCAAGGGTTTAATGGGGGCAGAAGCATCAGTTGTGAATAATGATTGCACTTACGTCCTAATTCATACCGGCGTCATGTAAATAGAGCATATAGTAAGAGGAAACCAAAGCAATTTATTGTAAAAGAGAACTAGGACAAACACCTAAACGGATGCTTAAGGCGAATAATTTGTTATCACCGAAAACGCATATTCTAGAACCA